TCACCTCAGCCTCCCAAAGGCGCGGGATTACAGGCTGAGCCACTGAGCCCGGCTCATACATACTCTATTTACAATAGTTTTTTTTATTGTAGAGACGAGGTCTTGCCAAGTTGCCCCGGCTGGTCTCAAAGCCCTGGGTTTAGGCAATTCTTTCACCTCCACCTTTCAAAGTGCTGGGATTACAGACATGACCCACCACACCTGGCTACAATGAGGTTTTAGACACTATTACAAATACACGTTGTGACACAGGCAAGGAATAGGAGAGAAAAAATTATTTCTCCTACTATCCTCCTAGGTTCTGTGGTTGGAGCCCTGTAAATTAGACTGACAAAAGACAGATTAAAAACAATAGTTTATTAACTTGTGCATAGCTCATGTAACACACAGGAGTCCAGAGTTTAGTAACAGAAAGATCTGGTTAGAGTTTGGGCTTATCTTCCCAAAGGAATAAAGTTTTTAGAGAAATAACAAGACAAAGGAAAAGAACAGAGTCTCCAGAGGAAGCAAATTGTGGGAAGGCAAATACATAAGAAATTAATGGAAGATAAAGGATAGTAAAATTTGCTATGTAGATTCCTCTAGTGCTGCCTCCAGGCTGATAAAGGTCTAAATTTGTCTCTGGTGATTAACTTTTGTCTGTCCTTCTAAGAGAGGGAAGAGAAGACACCTTTGTACATTTATGTACTGCTTTTAGGAAAACAGTAGGAGGGCTGACAGATTTCCTTTAACTGCTTCTTCTCAATTGCCTTTAGTTCAAAATAATCATTATGCCAAAGTAGCATATTTTGGGGTAGTATTTTCTGCCAGTGCACAAAGGTCTTTCAGTAAGCATTCTGGTCATTAGTTAATGAGACATTTAGTACCTCCATGAAAACAAAAATATCCAGCTGATTACATTTAAAGGAAAAACAGGCCGGGCACAGTGTCTCATGCCTATAATCTCAGCACTTTGGGAGGCCTAGGTGAGAGGACTGCCTGAGCCCAAGGGTTTGAGACCAGCCTGGACAACTCGGGGAGACCTCTCTCTACAATAAATCAAAAAATTAGCCAGACATGGTGGTGCATGCCTGTAGTTCCAGTTATTTGGAAGACTGAGGCAGAAGGATCACCTGAGCCTAGCAGGTGGAGACTGCGGTGGCCATGAGTGTGCCACTACACTCCAGCCAGGGCGACACAGTAAGACTCCAACTCAAAAATAAAAAATAAAAAATAAAAATAAATAAAGGAAAAGCAAGCATTTTATGACAAAGCATTATGTTTTTTAAAACATCTCTAGAGAGCCAGGCTCGGTGGCTCAGCCTGTAATCCCAGCACTTTAGGAGGCTGAGGTGAGTGGATTGCTTGAGCCCGTGGGCTTGAGACCCGCCTGGGCAACTTGGAAAGACCTCATCTCTATAATAAGTCAAAAATTAGCCGGGCATGGTAGCGCATGCCTGTACTTCCAGTTACTTGGAAGGCTGAGGCGGAAGGCTCACTGGAGCCCAGCAGGTTGAGCCTGCGGTGGCTGGGAGCGGCCACTGCACTCCAGTCTGGGCGACAGAGTGAGACTCCAACTCAAAAAATTTAAATAAATAAATAAATAAAACAAAACATCTAGAGAAAATATTAAGACTGCACATCCAAAGAATAAAGTAAAACAGCCAGGCACCATGGCTCATGCCTATTATCCTAGCACTTTGGGAGACCAAGGTGAGAGGACTGCCTGAGCCTAGGAGTTCGAGACTAGCCTGGGCAACACGGCAAGATTTCGTCTCTAAGATAAATCAAAAAATTAGGCATGGTTGCGTGCACCTATGTTTCCAGCTACTTGGAAGGTTGAGGCAAAAAGATTGCCTGAGCCCAGCAAGTCAAGGCTGCAGGGTATCTGTGATTGTGCCTTACTGCGTGGGAGACAGAGTGAGACTCCAACTCAAAACAAAACAAAACAAAACAAAATAAAGCAAAAGAAACTAGCAAATGATTTAACTTCTTAAAATTTGGTTTTGGAATTAGCATCTCACCTTGTTGCCCAGGCTGGAGTACAGTGGCATGATCATAGCTCACTGCAGCCTCAATCTCCTGAGCTAAGGCAATCCTTTCATCTCAGCCTCCTGAGTAGCTGGGACAAGTGCACGTCACCATGCCAGGCTAATTTTTAAATTTTTTTGTAGAGACAAGGCCTCACTATGTTGCCCAGAATGGTCTTGACCTCCTGGGCTCAAACCATTCTCTCTCCTCAGCCTCCCAAAATGTTGGGATTACAGGCATGAACCACCGTGGTTGGCCTACCATTTAATTTATAAGATAAATTACTTTTTTTAAAAAATTGTTTTAGGCTGGGCGCAGTGGCTCACACCTATAATCCGAGCACTTTGGGAGGCCGAGGTGAGAGGCCTGCGTAAGCCCACGGGTCTGAGACCAATCTGGGCAACTTGGTGAGACCTCATCTCTACAATGATTGCCTAAGCCCAGCATGTCAAGGTTGCAGTGGCCATGAGTGTGCCACTGCCCTCCAGCCTGGGTGACAGAGTGAGACTCCAACTTAAAACAAAAAAAGTAAATAAAAAAATTGTTTTAAAACCAAACACCATTTCCACTTAACACGCACCAAAACAATTCCTAACACTTTAACAATTCAATTAATGCAGTTATGAAGTGAAACTATTCAAAGCCCTCCAGCCGGGCTCGATCGCTCAGCCTGTAATCCCACGCCTTTGGGAGGCTGAGGTGAGTGGATTGCCTGAGTCCGCGGGTTCAAGACCCGCCTGGGCAGCGAGACCTCAGTTCCACAACAAATCAAAAAATCAGCCGGGCGTGGTAGCGCATGCCTGTATTCCGGCTACTTGGAAGGCTAAGGCGGAAGGATCCCTGGAGCCCAGCAGGTCGAGGCTGTGGTGGCCAGAGCAGACACTGCACTCCAGTCTGGGCGACAGGGTGAGACTCCAACTCAAAAAAAAAAAAGAAAAAAGCCCTCCAAAATCAATCAGCTTAATAATCTAACATTTTCACATGTAGTATTCAAAGCTACATTTGCTTTTTAGAAAACCAGTGTAGAAGTCAACATACCTTGGAATCCATTTAACAATACTTGGTTTTACAAGATGTCCAACAACATTAGCTTACATCAAGCAAGTTGGAATATGATGATTTGAAATCATACACTGAAATACATACATAGGTATTACCTCAAAGCTCCTGTAGTAAGAAGTGAGGGTTATAAAGAGGAAGAACAGCCAGTTTAGGCTGTGGCATTTCTCATTTTGTAATAGAGGTACAAGAGTTTAACACTAGTATACTGTCAAGTCATTAATCACATTCCAAATGGTTTCTTGCTGAGGTCTGGGATGGGCACAAATGCAAATTACATTTATTGTACAGAAAAAAGAGAGTTATTTGCTAACATACCCTGTCCCGTGTGCGTTCTTGCTATAAGCTGAAGGTGCTGAATGCAGGCAGTAGCGAGTTCAACCACTCTATCAACCATGAAACTTCCCTCTGTATCAATAAAAACTGCTTCACCTGCCACCCCTCCAAAACATTCTGGTATCTGCACATCTACTGCCAACTGCATACTGTCAAGAGAAAGACGTAGAATGACCAAATCAATATGATCATCTAACACAGTGCTTTTCAATTCCAGATAACAACCAGTTAGGTACCACTAAAAGCTTTATAAATGCAAATATACTCCTCAAGGCAACAGAAATGTCTGACATTTCATGGCTCCAGATACGTGAAACAATTGACTATATGTAAATCAAATGGGTTATGGGGCGGATGTGCCTACAGAACCAAGATTGAAAACTTTTTAAATGATTTTTAGGCCTCTGGAAATAGAACCCCTTCTTTTTTGTTGTTATTTTTTCTAATGTGTTTGTTTTTTATGGCTAGCCTAGTGGGTATAAAGTGGCATAGTGATTTTGATTTGCATTTCCCTCATCAATAATATTTTATTTTATTTTAATTACTTTTTTTTTTTAATTTGAGTCTTCCTCTGTTGCCCCTGCTGGAGGGCAATGACACAATCATGGCTCACCACAGCCTCAACCTCCTAGGCTCAGGTGATCTCTCCAACTCAGCCTCCCAAGTAGCTGGGACTATAGGTGTATACCGACCATGCCTGGCTATTTTTTTTTTCTTTTCTGTAGAGATGGGGTCTTGCTATGTTTCCCAGGCTGGTCTTGAACTCTTGGACTCAAGTGATCATCCCACCTCAGCCTCCCAAAGTGTGGTGATTACAGGCATGTGCTACCACACCTGGCCAGAACCCCTTCTTATTATAAATAAATCTACTTTCAAACATTTGACTTTCAAATATATTCTCAGGAGTGAATTAATAAAGTAGAAGCTGCCTGTTTACCCCTATTACTGTATTTCAATGCTACAAAAGAAACATTTTTATATCAAAATAATTGTATCAATTTATTAAGATGGCATACTGAAATAATAAAAATGGTAAGTTGATTTTTGTTTGATGCATGCACATACAAAATTAAGAGGGGTAACCCCCTTGGGTCCCCTCCCACTGTGGGAGCTTTTCTGTCCTCCCAATAAATCTTGCTTTGGAATAAACAACAAAAAAAGCAAATTAAGAGCACATAAATGCCTTTCTTGGTCTCCTGACTGTAAATCAACAGCACAAAGTATTCTATTACTTACATAATGTTATTAATCCCACCCTTAAGAGAGGAACATTTTATTTTACCATAATTGTGTCTTTCCAACACCTGGTGCACCACAAATTTCTGTTGTTTTCATTAAGGGTATTCCACCCCCAAGAATATTATCAAGTGCTGAACAGAAGGTAATTATGAAGCCCTGGGTATGCTCCTGCTCAAGAAGTTCCAGTGCTGTACACTTCTTGCCTGACTCAGATGTACCAGCATATCTTGGTTTATTTGTAAGACGTTCTCTTCTTATAATTTGCAGAGTTTCTAAGGCTTCCTCTTTAGATATCCCGACTTCTGAAAGTAAAATAAGAAAAAAAGAACCTTAATTTTAGAGATTTAAAAGTCTAACACTATAATGGGTTGTCTTCATTAATTTTACTTTTTTTGGTTAACAAGAGCAATGCTTCCTGTGCACAGTGGCTCACACCTGTAATCACAGCACTTTGGGAAGCAGAGGTAAGAGGATTGCCTGAGTCCAGGGGTTCAAGACCAACCTGGGCAATTTGGTGAGAACTCGTCTCTAAAATAAGTCAAAATAAATTAGCCAGGCATGGTGGTGCGTGCCTATGGTTCCAGTTACTTGGAAAGCTGAGAAGGAAGGATCACCTGAGCCCAGCAAGTTGAGGCTGCAGTAGCTGTGAGTGTGTCACTGCACTCCAGTCTGGGCAACAGAGGCTCCAACTCAAAAAAGAAAAGAAAAGAGCAATGCTAAGAGTAGAGAAACAAAAGCGTAACATTCTGGCCGGGCTTGGTGGCTCAGCCTGTAATCCCAGCACTTTGAGAGGTTGAGGTGAGTGGATTGCCTGAGCCCGTGGGTTCGAGACCAGCCTGGGCAACTTAGTGAGACCTCATGTCTACAATAAATAAAAAATTAGTCGGGCATGGTAGCATGCACCTGTAGTTCTGGCTACTTGGAAGGCTGAAGTGGAAGGATCACCGGAGCCCAGCAGATCGAGGCTGCAGTGGCCAGGAGCGGCCACTGCACTCCAGTCTGGGTGAAAGAGTGAGACCCTAACTCGAAAAAAAAAAAAGCGCAATATTCCATTAACTATTTCCTTTTTCAACTTAATAAAGGCCTTTATCTTTGTTTTCTCAGTTGTCACATAAAGATTTACCTACTACCTCAGAAACAGAATTCAACTAAAGCATTTCTAAGTACCCACAAGACATCTCAAGAGATAGAAATAAAAGCATGGTAGCAATCAGTGCTTTTGGTCTTATGAAGCAATAATCATCTCGGTCTCATAAGTTATACAAATTATATATATATATTTGAGCCAAAGTCTCACTTCGTCATCCAGGCTTGCATGCAGTGGCACATTCACAGCCACTGCAGCCTCGACCTGAGGGCTCAGGAGATCCCTCTGCCTCAGCCTTCTAAGTAGTTGGAACCATAGGCACACATCACCACACCAGGCTAATTTTTTAATTTTTATCATAGAGACGAAGTCTTGTCAAGTTCCAAGGCTGGTCTTGAAATCATGGGCTCAGGCAATCCTCTCACCTCTGCCTCCCAAAGTGCTAGGATTACAGGGTGAGCCATCACAACTGGCTACAAAATATTTTTAAGATGAGAATGAAAATAGCTTCCTTAACTGCCTAAAACAGATTACAACTTTTAAGAAGTGCAATTTCATGTATTATTCATAATGTAAACTTCTCATGAAAATACTAATGTAAAAAAATTCATGTATCACTCCAAACAAATGAAAACAATTATTTTGTGCACAAATATTTTATTTTTTATTTTTCTGAGTTGGATTCTCACTCTGTCACCCAGATGGAGTGCAGTGGCCGCTCCCGGCCACCGCAGCCTCGACCTGCTGGGCTCTGGCGATCCTTCCGCCTCAGCCTTCCAAGTAGCCGGAATTACAGGCATGCGCTACCACGCCCGGCTGATTTTTTATTTATTGTAGAGATGAGGTCTCGCTGCCCAGGCGGGTCTCGAACCCGCAGGCTCAGGCAATCCACTCACCTCAGCCTCCCAAAGGCGCGGGATTACAGGCTGAGCCCCCGAGCCCGGCTGTGCACAAATATTTTAAACAATACACTTAGGCTTCCTCAACTACACAGTTTCATTCCTATCTGACAATATGACCTAAGAAGAGAAAATGGAAATTACAAAACAAGCTGCTGGCCAGGCATGGTGGTTTATGCCTGTAATCCTAGCACTGTGGGAGACAGAGGCAGGAGGATCGCTTGAGCCCAGGAGTTCAAGACCAACCTAGGCAACATATGAGACCTTCTCTCTAAAAAAAAAAAAAAAAACTAAATTTTTATTAAAAAATAAAAAGCTGCCAAAGCAGTTTGCTATATCAGTGCTTGATTTAGTAATGATATAAACTATAAATGTGACGCTAATAAAAGACAACAGTGGTGATAAGCATTTAAGAAATGAAAAGTCCTGGCTGGGCACGGTGGGTCATGCCTATAATCCCAGCACTTTGGGAGGTCAAGGTGAGAGGATTGCCTGAGTCAATGGGTTTGAGACCAGACTGGGTAACTTGGTGAGACCTCATCTCTATAATAAATCAAAAACTTATTTGGGTATGGTGGCACGTGCCTGTAGTTCCAGCTACTTGGAAGGCTGAGGTGGAAGGATTGCCTGAGCCCAGCAGGTCGAGGCTGCAGTGGCCATGAGCATGTCACTATACTCCAGCCTGGGCGACAGAGAGAGACTTCAACTTAAAAAAAAAAATGAAAATCATATCCAATTCAAGAGTCTGGACACTTGAGTCAGATTGCTTGTGTTTGTAAATCTTGACTACACCACTTACTGTGTCCCTTCGGGCAAGTTACTTAACTTTTTTCAGTCTCAGGTTTTTTTCCTTCTACAAAATGGGAACAACACATGTAAAAAGCCTGGCAGAATACCAAAGCTATTCAAAATGGTCAATAATTGTTAACGATTATTCGAGTCTCTCAATTCTTCTTTGGAAAACCAATTTGTTGAGAAAAAGAGACCATCAGACTTTGGGGGACACAGTATACGTGTGGTATGATTTAAGGGTTGGGTCTACAATATTTCATCTTCAGTGGCAAGTTGAAACTTCCTTACTTTCCATTATTAAGGCAAATAACTTAAAATTCTGTTCTATCTTCTTCAGTGGATATAGCACAGGTCTGGGCATGCCGCAGTGTAATGTGCACAGCGAGAGTGACCACAGTTTCATGTTTGTATATGCAGGATGAAGGGGTTCCCACAAATGTATAATCTGCAGTGTTCTGGAATATGAAGCTTTGGTTTTTTCGGTGAATTACCTAAGAGAAAGGGTGTCTCCTTTCTATTGCTTTCTCTAAGTTCTGGGGGTTCTACTTCCTTTCTCACTTAGTGTCTCCAGCCCTACATGAATCCTGCATTTCTGGAATTTAATCCCCACCCTTGGATCTTAGAACAGCGAAAACTTGCCGGCCTGTCTGGTTCCAAGTCTGACTCCATTTCCTAAACCAGTTATCATAAAGTTACTTAACCTCCCCAAGATAAGAGAGCGGTTGATCGCATCTACATACCGAACATAATCTACGCAAGTGGGTTCTTTTGGGCATAACTGAGATATTTCTCAAAGCATTCAGCAGGCACTGCCACAGAGAAAGCAAGCAGTAAATGTTTTCACGACCAAAGTTCTAACCATTCAGACAACTTTTAGGTGCAGTGAAGTTGTTTCACGTTGTGAGCGCGGCTGGGGGTTGGGCGGGGGGCAGCAGCATCTGCCGAGAGGCCGGGTGAGGCTGGAGAACCAAGACGGAGGCGGCGCCGACGGCGGCCAACGTGTCTCGGTTTGCCGTCGGGGCTCGTTACCTTTGCTGAGCTCCGAGGGTTTCACTTCTAAGAGTTCCTCAGCAGTCTGGAAACCCGCAGACACCAGCTTCACCCGCACCGCTGGAGACAGCGGGAAACTCACTAAATCCCGCTGCATTTCAAAGCGGAAGTCAACGCGAACAGACGCACAGACCCAGAGCAGCTGAAGCCGGGGCTGCCGAACTTCGCACGCCCGCGCCAGGCCGTGCGATGTGACGTCAGACGTAAAGAGGAAGGGGCGGTGTCTTTGCCCGGCCGCAAGCGGCTTTGTGCTTCGCTGCTCTGCGGGGGCATGTAAATTTTCACACTTCGCCACCATGTGCCTTATGCTTCCTTGAAATCGCACTTAGAGTTCCCCATCAAATGTACATCCTGATCGTAAAGAGGTGGACGGAGGCCATAGGACGGAGAGTCATGCCCAGTGGGTTCTACATACCATGTTTCTTCGCCTCCATCCTGGCCTGTCGGGTGGAAGCTTCAGAGTTAACAGGAATGATCTCCAGTGGGATTAGTGAGAATAACAAGGGCACACTGGTTAGTTACAGTGTGTGTGTTAAGAGTCCAGGCCAGGCGCAGTGGTTCACGCCTGTACTCCCAGCACTTTGAGCCCTGGAGTTCGAGACTACCCTGGAGACCATAGCAAGACGCCAGACCTTGTCTCTATTTAAAAAAAAAAAAAAAAGCCGGGCTCGGTGGCTCAGCCTGTAATCCCGCGCCTTTGGGAGGCTGAGGTGAGTGGATTGCCTGAGCCCGCAGGTTCGAGACCCGCCTGGGCAGGCGAGACCTCATCTCTACAATAAATCAAAAAATTAGCGGGCGTGGTAGCGCGCGCCTGTAATTCCGGCTACTCGGAAGGCTGAGGCGGAAAGATCGCCGGAGCCCAGCAGGTCGAGGCTGCGGT